GAACTCACGTGTAGGGAGGCTCTGGACAGAGGATAATGTCAACGGCCATGAATGAATCCCACACAACTTAGAAAACTGTGACTTCAACTTTAACTACTTCTTGCTTGCTCTTCAGTGCAAATGGTGAGCAGCTGGTTAATCTCTTTCATAAAATAATCCCATGTACATGGAAAGTCACGCAATCGTTCAGCCACAGAAGAATTCTGAAGTGACAGTGGAACCGAGCAAAAATGGATATATGTCATCACAATACTATCATTACTGTTTCACTGACCTATTAGACTGTTAAAAAAAAGAAAAGAAAAGAAGAAAGTACTGTGTCATCTACTTTAGTTTCCTGACAAATCAATATCGCCCCAGTCTCAAGGGGAAGTCAGCTTTTCCTTCTGTGTATCAGCTGAAAACATACACCCAAGATCAAGGCAGGACTTAATCACTTCCTTTTCATCAGCGAGTGTCCCCACTGTATCTCATTAATATGCCATTGGTGAAAAGTTACTATTTCTTACTCTGAAATCTTCACATCAATCGTGATGTTAAATATTTGAGTGGATTTCATAACAGAAACAAAAGCTTTTTTTTTTTCCAACCACTTGCTTTTACTTTGAAAAGGGGGGTAGGGATTCCTTTGGTCCTTATTTAGTAACTCATTAGAAACTAAAATCATTTTCTTAGTATTTAATTATAATACAATAAAATCAAAATAATAATTTATTATTTTCCCCAAGAATTCTGACAGGGGACACCTGGACTAACAGTTATGCCTTGACACTGCTGTGTGCTTCTGAGACCATATGGTTTTAACAAAAAGTTTATCAGGTGTTAGTGTGGCTCCATCAGTCCTTCCCGGAGAGCTCCCTGGATATCACCAACAGTAAGAAATGCGGTGTCTATGTGTGTGTGTGGTTCATGTTGAAGGAAACAAACTCGTTGTGATTACACATTTTAGCGTGTTTGACCCAATTACCATTGGGCCATTCATTGTGGTTACTACAGTGCACTTGTTCCTTCACGGAAGCCTGTCTTGTCTTAGACTATAGCTTATGTCTTTCATATAAACGATCAATAGGCAAGAAGTTTTTAAATTGCATTAATATATCATAATAGGAATAGTCTCTGGACTTTCATTCTTTTGTAAAGAGTGAAAAAACAGATTCCCAACAACATAACTTAAATAAGCTAGAGTAGGTGTAGGGATCTTTAAATTAGTGTATTGAACAGTGTAATATCATTCAAAGTAACTACAGGATGAAATACGTTATTTGGGGGCATAAAACCAGTGATCAAGAAAAAAAGACCAGAGCAGCCAGCTCTGTCCTCTTACTTACGATCGTGTAGGTTCATTTACTCACTGATAAGCAAGAGAATAAATGATGGACTAAATTTAATCTCCTCCTCACATTGATGGCCAACACATCACAAAGCCAAAGATTTAAGGAAAAACTCTCTCTTACTTGAAAAACACGAGAGCAATTCAAAGATGAGCATTTCCCAATCAAAATCATTACCACAAATATGGTAAATGTCCCTGTGGGCTTTTCATGATGTCACATTTATCTCTAATATTTTTTATTTGGCTGTTTTATGCAGAGTTGGTATATCTACCAACAAACCATCGTTTACACTTCTATTCATAGTCTATTCATGAGACCAATTCTGAACTTGTGTGAAAGAAGCTTACATCTATGTAGTTCTGTAGCCAAAGTATCTGATGCCCAAAACCTTTTAAACAACAGTAATAAAGAAAGGGAATTCAAATTTAAAACGTTTGCTGCAATCCCTCCCCAACCAAGACCACTGCCATACTTTGCCCCACACTTCTCAGCTCTTCTTAAGGGACACGTGCCAACACCTCTTCTAGACAATTTCACCTTCAATACTGCTGAGAATCTGCCCACTAATGACCATAATGAAACATGCTTTGTGTGAGAGCCTGTTCATTTATTTTCATTCCCGTGAGTGCCTTCAGAGACCAGAGTTGCAATCACGGCTACTTACTATTTAATTCCCAGCCAAATTTATGGTCAAATTGAAAAATGGAGGCAGGCAGCCTGATGCAGGCTGCTTTTGTCTGAAGTGTCCTCCTGGAATCATTATACTTGCATTAATCTTTAATCTGCAATTAAACAATCAGTTCTATGTAAAAGAGAGCCGCAAACAGACCTCCTGCACGCGTCCCAGACCGTCTATCTTAATGGGAGGAGTGGGGGAAGGGTGAGAATAAGGAGCAATTAGGACTAAATTCGTCACGGATCCTGGTTCGGTAGGAGGTTATTTATGGAGCTAAAGGTGCCCCATGCAAATGGACTTTTACAGATTCCGATGTTCGCCAAAGAACCTCCCATGTCTTGCTACGACGTGGGGGGACTGTGAGATCACAAAACACAGACGTAGAGTGAGGACGAGGGAAGGAAAGTTGGCCTGACTGAGACACATCTTGGCAGAGACTGCAACCAGCCTCGTATCTTCAGCTTCCCAATTAAAAGGCTGGCGTCTCAGCTTCCACAGGGGCCGCCAGGCAGGGCTCAGCACCACACCTATTAACACTAGGTGCTCAGGCTTGTCAATTTTCCTTTGCTATCAGAGCTGTCAACAAGGTGCCACCTTCCTGTAAGAGTGAAACACCCTAATATGAGGAGCTTTTTATAAATAAAACAAACAGCTCTCAGAGCAGACCAGGGGTGTCAGGGTGTTCCTATGGGAGGCAGAGTCTAAAGGGGGGCAGCCCGGGTCTTTCTGCTTGGGGAAAACAAACATTAGAAGAGGACTGAAGACTATGAAAGCGGATATATGTACGAACATCTATGACTGAAACATTATGCTGTACACCAGAAATTGACACATTGTAACTGACTACATTTCAACAACAACAACAAAAAAGGAAGAGAATTGAGTGGGTGAAAGCAATAAGTAAGAGGGTCATCTTTTTCAGATTTGAGTGTTCCCCAATTCAGTTTTTATAACGGATGGCACTCAGCTACCAGGTCATTTTGGGTCTCATGTGACAACTTAGAGTAAAAATGAGATGGGAACCTCCTAATTTTAATTCCTACTTGTGATTCCACTCCAGGTTTGCTATGCTGATTCTTTAACAAGGCATACACACTCTGAAAATGAATGGTTTCCATCAATTTTGTAAAGAACAGCAGCTCTTACAGATTTAAAGTCGACCTAGTGAAGAGAAACCAATCAGGTACAGAAGTTGTGTTGGGTCGACCCCTGAAAAGGCAGACTTCATTTCACAACCGTATTCCTAGAGGTAATTTGTATTTTACTACCTTGTTATCTATCTTCATGTACAATATTTTCATAATCATGATAATCAGAGGAAAATATTAGATGTATAGGGAACACTAAAAGACTATTTTCAAGATCCTCTGGGATCTCAAAAGGCCATGAACCATTAATGGTGTTTGGACATGCCCTGCACAGGCAGGCATGTCGCACGTATGGAAGATATGAAACACCACATCCTCAAGGAGCTGAAATTCTCTCTGCATGAAAGTACAGCTTAAAATACCAAGTAGCATGTAGCAAATGGATTGTACAGAAGACATATACTCCTGGGGCCAAAAGAAGAAAACAGGGAGAAGAGAGAAAGGGGGACAAGGAGAGAGGATTCTGTGAGTATTTGGTTCCAGACCCCAGACAGGAGCTCTAGGTTTCTAGTGCATCTCTAACACTGTAAGCATAGAAGAAGAAATCATACTTTTCATGATCGTATGTGTGAAATAAGTCACTAAAATTTGAACTGCAAATACCATGCCATCAATCTGCTTTTCAGGTGGTTTTAGATTCGGAAGGTCATAGGATCAAATGCATTACTATTTATAATAAAAAAATAAAAGTCATTTTTAAGGCAGAACTGCTCTTATAAAAATTTCCTATAATACCATTTAGAGCTGCCAAGAATTTGCTTCTCTTCATGGCTTATAGCCTTGCTATCAAGTAGTCTAGATAAACATAATTAAAGACACAAAGGTAATAGACATGTATTGATTTCAACTAGTAAACCATTAAGAGAATTCTAAGGTAATATTTTGTTAAACATCTGGTAATTTATTTTACTTCACAGTATCACAGGTTGCAAGTTTTAGATTCTATTAGGAAAAGAAATCTGAGACTATGATCTCCAGAAAAAAGAGAAAGCTGACATCTGGTTCTCATTTCTCTCCAATTTTTTTAGGGATACAAGACTGGGTAATTCTTATTCATTCAAACATACTTTTTTTAAAAAAATTGAAATATAGTCATTTACAATGTGTCAATTTCTGGTGTACAGCACAATGTCCCAGTCATGAGTATACATGCA